TGTGTATATATATATATATATATATATATATATATATCAGGGTTTGAAAAAATCCGCGGGAAATTGAGTTTTTTCATTTAGTGCTCATGAACTTTAAAATTTTACTATGAAAATATTTTTATTTATGAAATAGTGTCGTATAAGCTTAAAAATAGAAATAAATCCAAAAAATTTATGTAAAATGTATATTAATAAAATTAAAATAAGCTTAAATAATGCACTATCACCAATACATGATTGAATCTTTATTGTTAAATACACAACGTTTCAAATTTTTTAACTGAAGCACTATAATATATATATATATATGTGTGTATATTGCAAATTTATAATCAATAAATATTTATAATCAGTAAAAACTAAAATTTCATCTGACTTTCACCTTTAATAAAATTAAACTGGAATAAATATTTAATGGTCTTCCATATTTTTATAATACAAATAATAGAAAGTGAAATTAAAATTACGCATAATCATAAGGAGTATCAGTTACTTGTCCCATTTTTCAAATATTTTACCTTAGAAAAAAGACTGCATTCTTAGGTAAATTTTACTTTTAGAATTTCTAAAAACAAATTAATCTTAAAATTATAAAAAAGCATGAATAAAAAGTTTTAGCTTATTTTTTTAAAACCAGAAAATAAAACTCTTAATTTGTTAATTGTTGTTTTATGTATCACTTAACAGAAAAAAAATTTTCGTTTGTTTTCAATTTTTTTAAAACATGATTAAAAGAAGCAAAATAAATTATATTCAAATGAAATCTTAAAAATAATATTTAAAAATCTTAAAAATAATACTTTAATTTTTAGCTGTTTTTAATGGTGATAATTCTCCAAATAGTCAAAAATTGTCAGCAGATGTTAAGAGTTAACTTTAAAAAAAAGTCAATTTTTTTATTTATTATTATTATTATCATACAGCAAAGTGTCTACATTTCTCACTTAGATGGTGATACACTTTTATAAGTTTTGTAGCTTTATCTATTTCTAATCTATTTTGTAGTTTACTCCACACCAAACCAAAAGTTGAAAAGTGTCTTTCGATAGAGACGGAGGATGCTGATGCTGTGTGTAAACAAAAAAGAATTGGCAGAAATTTTGCGGAAGCTTGGAATTTTTTTCTTTTTTTTTTGCTATAATTTTCCACTATTTTTTGATGAAAACTGTTGAATAACGGTGTTAAGCATCATTGATTTTGGAAAGTATTCCGGATCGGAAGTTTTGAAAGCCATAACACCTGGCAGAAATTCTTCATGATGCTTAGAAAGACAGTTTTCTGCTAATTGCTCTTGTTCATCATTTAAAAATTGTCTCCTTGTTTCGGGATCCAGGATGCATATGCTAATAAAAGAGGTGGCTCAACAACCACATGGAATCTTTTTCCAAAATATTTATGGGGTTCTAATTCATCCCACGATAGTAAGTTAATTCATAGTTCAACAGCTTCTAAGATTGAAATGTTTTCTGATTGAAGCTTTTTTAAAGCTTCAGAAACAATTGATATCTGTTTTTCCAAATTGATAGTTTATTGGTAAAGCCAAACATTATTTAATATTTTTGACAAATTATATTCTTCATTTTGATGTTCAAGAGCAATCTCTTAATATTTATGATAATTATTGGCATAAGCTTTTACACGGTCACAATATGAACTTTTGGGGCATCAAGCAGTTTTTTTCATTTGCCCATCCATGTGCTTGATGCACATTTCGAAAATATTTGTATCTTCCACGATGTGTCCAGTGATAGTAATAGGAGAAACTTCCTTTTCAACCAAATTTCAAAAAAACCAATTTGTGAAAAAAAACCACCAAGTGGGTTTTTTCAATGATGTGGGCCCACCCAATAAAACCCGGGCTGGTTTTTTCAAAGTGGGCCCACTTGGCGAACTCTGATATATATATATATATATATATATATATGAATAAAACATTTTGGGACCACCAAACTCCTTCCCTTTCATTTCGTTTAATAGCAAAAATTGGTATTTTTAATTGGTATATAGCAATAATTGGTATTTTTAGGCACATTGATGAAAATTGACAACAAAATGGATAAATAGAGAGGGATACTGATCAACAATTCATCAAAGAATCTGTTTTGATTGGTTAAGCAATTGACAGGAAAGAAACCTACGAGAACAAGAAGCAATTGTTATGAGCAGTAAACTGTGACAAGTTTAAGTGGCAAATTTCCGGTGATAATTACAAAGTAAACGAAAGCATAATTTTTTAAGGACTATCCTGAAAAACTGCAATCATTAAAAAGTGAGAGCTAAGCTTTCATTTACATTATCATATCCAAATTCAGCACCTTTGAAAACATTAAAATTATTTTTATCAATGTTAGAGAAAAAAAAAATTAAATATTGTTGACTAGTGTTTTTTTTTTTTTCATTTCATAACAAAGCACATGAACATAAGAAAATAGTTTAATAATTGGTTATTATTTTTTGTTGTAGAAATCCGTATGCCATAAAGGAATACAAGAGTAGTATTAGAAAACTTAATTTTAAAAAAGTTTAATTTTTCCCAACTATAAACGAGGTTTGCAAGATTGCTATGATATTAAATTCCATTATAGAAAAAATAAAATCACCTATACATAAAACTGAATTCAGTTCTATCATATATTATGAAAATGCTCTAACAATTTTTATTTATGGGTTAAAATTAAATTCAGATTTTCTAAGAATACTGTAAAAATGTCTTTTTTTCAGGTTTTCCTAGTAAAGAAACAAAAAAAAAAAAATAAAGAATATACGAGTATCAGTATGAAAAAAATTACTCTGAATGAAAAAAGTGATCAAACCTTATTAGTGGCTATATGGAGAGCTGTTTGTCCTAGAGAATCAGAGTTATCAACATGTACTGCAGCTTTGAGTAGAAGGTTAACACATTCAAAGTGATGGTGAATAACAGCCAACATCAAAGGTGTTTTTCCACATTCATTCTTTATTTCAAGAACTTCAGGAGCAACAGTATCAATCAATCTCTTTAGAAAATTTTTATTACCAGAAGAGCTTGCTATGTGTATGGGCAATGGCATCCTAGCTAATAATAAAAACAATTGTAAGCAGTATAAAGCAATGGTAGAAGCTAACATATTTGACAAAGTAATTCCCCAAACCAATGAGTACAGGGCCGGGATAGCCTGGTTGGTAGGGCACAGGTCCCATGTCCAAGAGTTTGCATTTTTGATCCCAGGCAGGCCGAAGACGTCCTGCGTAGTGAATGGAGACTGATGCAGGTTAAATCTGTTGAGTTGCAAAGTCCTCTATGTTCCCAAAAAAAATCAATACCTCTGGGAGTACTGATCCAAGAGTTTCCTTGTCTTAAGGATTGGGTTCAAAATTACAAGGCTAAGAAGTTGAACATGGGTAGTTGTAAACTCGAAATAGGGTCGGCTGTTCGACAATGGATATAAAAAAATTAGTCAGAGCCTTGGTCGCTCAGGGGATAGAGATGTCACTTTCTAATGAGATAAACTGGGTTCGAATCTCAGTGATGGCTCGTCAATACGAATTCCGCATCCGGCTCATACCGAACACAATGCTGATGTAAAATATCCTAGGTGGTAGACTGATCATGGGTTAGTCTCCTAGTTATCTGGCTAACCATGGGAGGTTTTCCTCTCCATGCAACACGAATGTATGTATTAACAGTAGTATCGATTGCCAGTAGTACCCAATCCTCACAAATTACAGGAGGAAGTAGCTTGAATTAAATTTTAAAGTAATTTGAGTTAATTTTAAATATTACGAGTTGCCTCGAGCAACATCATTCTCCCAGATGATAATGAAAACAGTTATTATTTATTTTGATGGGATAACATGCTTTGCTTAATCTAATAACGTAAAGTAATCCAGAAGCACAACAAATAATAAATAAACAATTTTAGTGTTATTGTGTTGAAATTTGTGGTAAAGTTTTGAACAGGATTTTGTAGTGTTATTCAGTACTAATAAATTGCAGCTGATCTCTCTCCATACGTAGAACGGGTATTCAGCTAGTAAATTAATACAAAAACTATGAATAAATGATAATTAACATCAATATTTATACAATAACATATTGTGATTGTTTAAATGAAAATAGAATTTTAAATTATATTTGTATTTTAGTGAATACTTTCTTAAAGGGGAGATGTCCTATGACATCTGGAATATTCAGCCAATAAAGATGTTTGTGTTTTAACATACTTAGTATGTAATTATTGTTACCAGTCCCATTACAGTTAACAAATAATATTATGATAAAATAAATGTCACAAATAAAATATTAAAAAAAAAGAAACATAAAACGAAGTAGACAACAAATTGATCGTCCTCTTTCATGAATTTTCTCTTGTTTTTTTCATTTGATTTTAAGAGTTAGCAGCACAAATATTCAGATGTCCGATTCTAATGTTTTATTCCTCTCATTTGTTTTACTTTAACAGTTCATATCTTTTCATCAATTCTTTAAGAGTGCTTACTGAAGCAGTGTAAATGTAGAAACCACTACATGTTTGTTTTTAAAATTTTACAAGTTTAAAAGCCCTTTTGCACCTAAGCGATGATTGTTGATACGGACACGTCTTACTGTTACGGAAATATTCTCAGGGCAATAGAATCAGAAATATACATGTGATTATTAATTTATTTTTTATATCTACATCTACAACAAACAACAGAACAACGCATCTAAAACGGCGGAATGAACAAAAATTAGCTCACCAAAAATTTAAACACATTAACGTGCGTTGTTAAATTTACTTAACAACGCATTTAATCTTAAACAGAGTCTGAAGTTCATTTTTGCTTAAAAACTTCATTAAGAAAAGTTATTTTCCTTAACAAAGCTGTGCAAATTTTAAGAACATGTCTTTTAAAACAAGTAATTATTTCAAAGAAATATAAAGAAAATATAAGAATTATTGAATGAAATAAATTATTTTAAGTTAGTTTTTTGGTGATCCCACCTAACGTACATGGTATCTCTTTAAAAGCTCAAATAAATACGAAAAATACTCAAGTATTGCAGTAAATTTTTGCAACCAAGTTGTGCTAAAACCATTTTTAATACTTATTACAGCGGGTTTTAATACTTATTATTTTTAATACTTATTAATCTTAATAATATTCTGGAGAATACCAATGATAAGTGTTGTTGACTGACGGGCATTTTTGGAGCTCTTTGCAGTATGCAATATTTTGCTTATAGCTCACTTATCATAGAGTGAGAATTTTATTCCCTAAAGAGGGAATGGCTCACCCTGCTTTGGTAGCCCGATGACCTGAGAAGTAAATTTTTAAATTTTTTAAAGATTTATTTTATTTAATTTTTTTATTTCCCTTTCATTATTTTAACGTGAATTAAGTTTTCTTTACCAAAATATTATTCGGAATTTTTAAACAGCGTTTAATATTTATTTAAAAAGAAATAAACAAAAATAATAAAATTTTTATTTCATATTTTTCTAAAATTTCTTTTCCAATATTTTAACGTGAATAAAGTGTTCTTTACCAAAAAGTTGTTACTTTGCTTTTGATGTTGTTGTTACTTTACGTCGCACTAGAGCTGCACAATGGGCTATTGGCGACGGTCTGGGAAACATCCCGGAGGATGATCCGAAGACATGCCATCACAATTTCGATCCTCTGCAGAGGGGATGGCACCCCCGCTTTGGTAGCCCAACGACCTGGGCGCGAAGTCGAGCACTTTACGGTAGCACAGTTTAACGAGGACCAATACCGCTCACCCTCGGTCCCTACGTAGGCTGATCAAAGTGGTCACCCACCAGCCCACTGACAGCAGCCAGTGATGCTCGACTCCGGTGTTCCACTGGGAACCATGTCTTAACGATCAGTCCACTGCGGGACACTTTGCTTTTGAAAAGAGCGAATAATAGCTAAAAAATGGATGAATTTCGATTCCCATGCTAAGCGTTTAAATGACCCTTCCTTAAATATTAACTTAGAATTTTCAAATTCGTCCGGAAATTATTTTATTTTGTTTCATTTTATTATTTTTTTTTAAATATTTTAACGTGAATAAAGTGTTCTTTATCCGTAAATTATTATTTTTCTCTAAAAAAGAGCGAAAAATAGCTAAAAAACGGATAAATCTCTGCATACAAATGACCAAATACATACAGATATCTGTACTTAATATAAACTTATGATTTTTGAACTCGGCCAGAAATTATAATTTATTATACTAAGCAGTTGTACCAAAGGAATTTTTATAGACAAATTAGGGGGGGGGGCCAAAATAGGTTCCGTTAAAAAAACGCAGAGAAGTTATTTTGGCATAATAATCAGGGAAACAGTCTATGAGGCAATATATAGTCAGAAGCGTTAGTTAGCCGAAATAGTAAGTTGTAGAAGTTGTAATTAGAAATTTGTGGACCGAATTGTCAGGGGTTCGATCACTGCCGAAGAGAAATTTTTAATTTTTTTTTATTTATTTTCGTTTATTTTATATATTTTCAATATTATAACGTGAATATAATGTGTTTCTTATCCAAAACTTATTATTTTTCGTTTGAAAAGAAGGAAAAATAGCTAAAAATAATAGCAATAGAGCCGCGGGCTAATTAGCCGAATCAGTAATTTGAAGAATTTGTAAGTAGAAATTTGTGGACTGAAGTGTCCGGGGTTCGATCCTGGTCAAGGAGAAATTTTTAAATTTTTTTAAATTTATTTTAATTTATTTTATATATTTTCAATATTATAACGTGAATAAAGTGTTCCTTATCCAAAACTTATTATTTTTTGTTTGAAAACAAGGAATAATAGCTAAAAATAATAACAGTAGAGCCGCTGGCTAATTAGCCGAATTAGTAATTTGAAGAATCCGTAAGTAGAAATTTGTGGACTGAAGTGTCCGGGGTTTAATCCTGGTCAAGGAGAATTTTTTTTTTTTTTTTATTTATTTTAATTTATTTTATATATTTTCAATATTATCACGTGAATAAAGTGTTCCTTATCCAAAAGTTATTATTTTTCGTTTGAAAAGAAGGAATAATAGCTAAAAATAATAGCAGTAGAGCCGCGGGCTAATTTGCCGATTTAGTAATTTGTAATTAGAAATTTGTAGACTGAAGTGTGCGGGGTTCAATCCCGATCAAAGGGTAATTTTTAAATTGCTTTTTTTTAAAACTTATTTATTATATTTAATTTATTTATTTTATTTATTTCAATATTTTAACGTGAATAAAGTGTTCATTATATAAAACTTATTGTTTTTCTCTTGAAATGAAGGTTGTTGTTGTAGTTCATTTACGTCGCACTAGATCTGCACGATGGGCTATTGGTGACGGTGTGGGAAACATCCCTGAGGATGATCCGAAACCATCTCATCACAATCCTGCAAGTGAAGTCGAGCACTTTTGAAATGAAGGAATAATTGCTAAAANCTTTGGAAAAGAGTGAATATTTGATAAAAAAAAGGATAAATTTCGGCACCGATGCTTCGCACTCAAATGACCCTATATCTCCCTTTGATATTAACTTATAACTTTCAAACTCGGTCAGAAATTATTTTTTCCTATACTAAACAATCGTAACAAAGGAATTTTTTACCACAAAGGGTCAAAATAGGCTCCGTTGAAAAACAGCGGAGAAGTTCTTTAGGCATAATATTCGGGGCAACAGCATGTGAAATGTGGCATGGCCAGAAGTGCCACGTTCTAGTTAGCCTAATTAGAAATTTGAATCCAAAAATTATCATTTTATTTTCGAAAAAAAAAAAGCGAATAACAGCTGAAGAACGGATAAAATTGAGATCCAACGCTACGCATACAAATTAACCCGTATCCCCCTTTAAAATTAACTTATAATCTTCAAACTCGGAAAGAAACTATTGTTTAATATACTAAATTAATACGGCTAAGACCATGAGCTAGTAACTTACGCATTGAGCGAGGGGGCGTTGGTTCGACCCTCAGCTGTGGTCAATTTTTAAATTTTTTTTATTTTTTCTTCTTTTGTTTATTTTACATTAATTTATTTATTTGATGTGTTTTTCGATATATTAAAGAATCACATATATAAAAGAGAATATTTTTAATCGGGAAATTTCAAATAATGCTTAAAAACTGGAAAAATCCCGGAAAATTAGTTTATTTATAATATATTATTTTTTTAAACTCCTTTTACAATATTTTCATGATAGTTTAACTGGTGAAATATGTTGTTCTAAGTATGAAATCAAGGGTGTCTCTTTGTGAAATAAAGCTTAAATAAATAATATAATGTAAAATAAGCAAAATAAGAAAAAAATAAAAAAAATTAAAAATTGACCACAGCTAGAGTTTGAACCAACGGCCCCTCGCTCAATTCGTAAATCACAAGCACATGGTCTTAGCCGTTGGACCACGCATATACAAGGAAAGCGCTACAACATAGCTTCAAGAACCCTCTCCCGGTTTGCTAAACAGAAGACTTAAGGGGCCATTTCAGCCCCCCTAATTGGGTTATAAAATTTTGCTTTGGTAGAAGGGTCCGGCACATGGAGGCCTATATTCGGTCCGAGTTTGAAATTTATAACTTAATATGAAAGGGAAGTAGGTTGGCTTGAAATTTGATCCTTTTTCCCACCATTTTATTTTATTTTATTTTTTATTCCATTATGCTTTCTTTTACAAAGAGACACCCTTGATTTTTTACTTAGAACTACATATTTCACCTGTTAAACTGTCATAAAAGTATTGCAAAAGGAGTTTAAAAAATAATATATTAAAAATAAACTAATTTTCAGGGATTTTACCAGTTTTTAAGCATTATTTGAAATTTCCCGATTAAAAAAATTTTTTTTTTATAGGATCCTTTAATGCATCGAAAAACACATTAAATAAATAATATAATGTAAAATAAACAAAATAAGAAAAAAATAAAAAAATTTAAAAATTTGCCAAAGCTGGAGATTGAACCAACGCCCCCTCACTCCACGCGTAAATCACTAGCACATGGTCTTAGCCGTTGGACCACGCTTATACGAGGATCGCGCTACGTCATAGCTTCAAGTACCCTCTCCCGGTTTGCTAAACAGACTTAAGGGGCCATTGCGGCCCCCCTAATTGGGTTATAAAATTTTGCTTTGGTAGAGGGGTTCGGCACATAGAAGCCTATATTCGGTTCGAGTTTGAAAATTATAACTTAATATTAAAGGGAAGTAGGTAGGCTTGAAATTTGATCCTTTTTCCAGCCATTTTATTTTATTTTAATTTTTATTCCATTATGCTTTCTTTCACAAAGAGACACCCTTGATTTTATACTTAGAACAACATATTTCACCTGTTAAACTATCATGAAAGTATTGTAAAAGGAGTTTAAAAAAATAATATAATAAAAATAAACTAATTTTCCGGGATTTTACCAGTTTTTAAGCATTATTTGAAATTTCCCGAATAAAATTTTTTTTTCCTTATAGGATCCTTTAATGTATCGAAAAACACATTAAATAAATAATATAATGTAAAATAAACAAAATAAGAAAAAAATAAAAAAAATTAAAAATTGACCACAGCTGGGGTTTGAACCAACGCCCCCTCGCTCCATGCGTAAATCACTAGCACATGGTCTTAGCCGTTGGACCACGCTTATACGAGGATCGCGCTACAACATAGCTTCAAGTACCCTCTCCCGGTTTGCTAAACAGAAGACTTAAGGGGCCATTGCGGCCCCACTAATTGGGTTATAAAATTTTGCTTTGCTAGAGGGGTCCGGCGCATAGAGGCCTATATTCGGTCCGAGGTTGAAAATTATAACTTAATAATAAAGGGAAGTAGGTTGGCTTGAAATTTGATCCTTTTTCCCGCCATTTTATTTAAATTTTTTTTTTCCATTATGCTTTCTTTCACAAAGAGACACCCTTGGTTTTATACTTAGAACAACATATTTCACCTGTTAAACTGTCATAAAAGTATTGTAAAAAGAATTTAAAAAATAATATTATAAAAATAAACTAATTTTCCAGGATTTTACCAGTTTTTAAGCATTATTTGAAATTTCCCGAATAAAATTTTTTTTTTCATTATAGGATCCTTTATTGTATCGAAAAACACATTAAATAAATAATATAATGTAAAATAATCAAAATAAGAAAAAAATAAAAAATTGACCAAAGCTGGGGTTTGAACCAACGTCCCCTCGCTCCATGCGGAAATCACTAGCATATGGTCTTAGCCGTTGGTCC